TTTTCTTAAAATATAGTAACCAATAATTCTAGTTAGGAATAGTTTGCATGGATTTTGCTTTGAAAATGTCTTAAATTTGAGTGAATGGTAAAGTATGTTATCCTTATTTTGCACAAATTTCCATTTGCATACAGATCTGGACACATTTCATTATTTTTGAATGTATGTTTTCTTATTCTATATTAGATTGTTTGTGTGAAATACTTAATAAAAATGATTTGAATAAAGGGGGCTGTCCAGATAACATTCTGGTCAACTTGAATTAATCTACCACAAACCAGGAAAATCCTGGTTTGTGGTGAATTAATTTGATAGTGGGTTTATTCTTCACCCTTCTACTGCAGTCCAGACAGTATTCCCACAGTTTTCTGGGCTAAATTAGCCCGGAAAACTGTGGGAATACCAACCCCCACCCCAAAAGCTCCTTAAACATGAGATGGCTACTGGAGTTCTCCTGGAACGTACAAATGATGCACCAGGAGATTGGGTGGTGGGTGGGTAGTGGGGGGAGATGGGAACCCATTGTGGCTGGGTGAGTTCTTTTCTTTTTAAACTCGTTTGAAAGGGCTTTTTGGGGAGAGGGTTTATGTGTCCCAGTGTTGGACTGGGAAGTCCCATACGCATCTGGACACCCGCCCCTAACGTTCACATTGCATCCTGGGTGTGTGTGGACAGGGTCCCAGGAACATTCGTGTTTTTGAGATTAAGCCCTGTCTGGAAAGGCACTGGGTTGACTTGAGAAAAGATGAGCTGCAGAAATGCAATAACAGTTCTTGGAAGATGAATGAGACTTACCATACCAATGGGGTTAGTGCAAGATAATTTCCTGGTGTATTGTGCACATGGCACAGGAGCCAAGCCAGAAAATGTTAGTGAACTGATGCTCAAAAAGCAAGCCAAGACAGAAACAAAGGAAGAAGAAAGGAGTTGGAACTCAAGGAAAAAAAGGAAATAAAACAAGGTTTACTATTTGGGATAAATTATTTTAAGTATTTAATGTTTATGTATATGTATAGGTTATTTATGTCCTGTCATTGAATGTTTGCTGTTTATATGTTGTGCTCCATCCTGAGTCCCCTTTGGGGTGAGAAGAGTGGAATATAAATGCTAATAATAATAATAATAATAATAATAATAATAATAATAATAATAGATTTCTGGACAGTAAATCTTTTTGGAATCTAAATAAAGCAAGAGTTCAGAGAGGCAGATGGTTGTAGCAGCAGAAGCTATAGCTAGGTCCAGTGTTTTTCATACTGGGCTCCTCCAGAGTTTTTGGACTTTAGCTCCCAGAAATCCTAGCCAGTTTACCAGCTGCTAGGAATATTGGGAGCTGAAGTCCAAAACATTTGGAGAAGCACAGTTTGAGAATCTCTGGGTAAGCCAATCCAGACCAGGTCATGCACAGGCAATCCAAAAAGTTCACGAAGGGAAGCATTTGGTTAAAGTCTCAGCTGGTCAGACATTCTTACACACTACCAATAGTTCAGATAACCAAAGCCAAAAAGGGTATGACAAGGGGATGCTACAAATAGCCAATACAAAAGTAAAGAATTCTGAAGAGATGGTGGGGCATTTAGCTTGGCTGAACTTCATTTCAACAATTTTCATCTCCTTCCATCACGCAGAATTAAAGGTCACATAGAGCTTTTAAAATAATGTATAAGTTTTATTTTTGTGTGTATTAATTATTTTCCTTGTTAGAAATTATTCTGCAGCTTTGCTCTTGTTAATAAATCCACAAAGGTTTTTTTAAAAAAAGGAGCTTGGATGTGCTTTCCCATAAGATGTTTGGAGATGTATAGGTGGCTGACTTTGGGCACCACACACTTAAAACAGTGTTTCCTGTTTAACATACATTGATTCTTAAGAGGATATTTCTCCTCAGCCGACTGAAAACAAAACAAAAAAAAGGGAGGGGCAACTTTATCAAGTCCTGTTGACAAAAGATCACATTCTGAAACTTCTGGTTCTTATCATCAGCATAGGGAAAAGAGGACAGAGCAGATCTTTGCTGTAGACAGATCACCACCTCCTTCTGCCTGGTTGTGAGGATGCCTCTGTTGATGTCAGTATTGGGCTCTCATGTTGGTCAGGAGATCTCATGCAGCTATTCAGCTGTCTGGCAGTTGCAACATGGAGGGTAATTAGATAGTCCAGTGAAGCTGCAGTGGTCTCAGCCTAGCTTGGCTCTACACTGGAGTTTTCCTTGCTTAAACAAACCTTATGAAATTGATGGCGTCACCATAAATTGACAGGCAACTTAAAGACACACATAAAGTCACATAGCAGAGCAATCTAATGGTAAGTCTGCTCTGGTGGTAAATCCAGGGCTAGTCCAGAGGGGAAAAACTCGAGATTGGCTCCAGAGGTGACTACATGTATGCGAGTCAGAGTCTACTCTTGCCCATCTTACCTATCTGAACGTTTCTCCCACTACATCCCACCTCGGAGTTTAAGATCTTCCAGGGAGGCCCTGCTCTCAATCCCGCCTCTGGCGCAAACATGCTTGGTGGGGACGAGGGACAGGGCCTTCTTGGCGGTGGCCCCTGCCTGTGGAACCCGCTTCTCTACGAAATCAGGTCAACTACATCTTTCCTTCAGGAAAAAGTTGAAAACGTGGCTGTGGGACCAGGCTTTTGGGTAGCTTGCTGACTATGACAATGACTATGGTGATAATGCTATGGAAATGGACTATGGACTTGTTTCTGATTGTGTTGTTGGTCACAGAATATAGCTCTAGATAAGGCTAACCAGCCAGTGTTTAATTTTAAATGGCACTTAATTTTAATCTAATTTAATGTTATTTATGTAATTACTGTATTTATTATGTTGTATGTGGGGCATCGAATTGTTGCTGGCTGTAAGCCGCTCTGAGTCCCCCTGTGGGGGTTGAGACGGGTGGGGTACAAATGTTTGAAATGAATAAATAATGGTCTGGCTGGCCGGAAACCGCCTCACTGAACCATCAGTTTACATTTTGTGTCACCAGATAACCACAGGGCTCCATACGAGGTCCTGGTCATTGCGGGTGCTCCGTGCTGACCTCAGCAGAGAATGTGGGGAGATTGGCTTGCTCCTTTCGGGTCACATGGATGCCTTTTCTGCTGTTAGCATGGAGTAGTCACAATGGCCAGAATCTCACCCAGAGTCCTTTGATGCAGTTATAGAGGCACTATCCATCCACTTTCCCTTATGCTAAGTGCAGGGAAATAAAGGATGGCCGTAGTGCTACCATGTGGACAACAGGCCAGCCCAAATCAGACCCGATCCTGCTATCCACATTGCCTTGAGGAAGTGGGGTTACTTGAGAGTTTTAGGCACACTTTGCCACATCCCTCAACTTTTTCTAATGTGAGTTAAATAGAATTAACTAAGTTTATCCCAGAAGTAGAGAAAGTGGGCGTAGATTTTATGTGTTTCTCTCACACAGTTACACAGATACCAGAAGAGGCAAAATGTTACCAGCATGGCTAACAGAATGTAATAAATACTAGGGATGTGCCATCCATTAAAAATGGTTCAAAAGTCATTACAAAACTGGGGGTGCTGGCACTTTGTTTCTACAGTGTGTCTAAAGTATACTTAGTGAAAATTTCATTACTATAATGAGTAACAGAATTTCGTTACTATTTGTTACAGTAATTGTGCATGTAACAACAATAATTGGGGAAACTTCAGGGGCTCCTCTCTCCCTCATTTTTTAAAGCTATTGGTGTGAAACTTGCAACAATGGTACCACTGTTAGCCCACCAAATTTCAGAGCATTTCACTTATCCACAATCTTTTGGTGAATTTTCAAAGTTTTATCCTGTTTGGTGCTTTCTGATACTGATGCAGTCTGGGAAATGTAGTTTAGGGCAGGACTTTTTGAATTTTCTTGCATAGGGTTCTTTCCTTCCCAAACTACATTTCCCAGAGTTCTGTGCTGTTTCCAAAATGCACTGCTCCCTCTTTTATCTACTGATAATGCTGGGACTGCATTAATTTCACAGAGGAATGGCAAGACACTAAGGCACCCTTTGACTTTGCATTCTGAACCCCGCCAACTATAGAATTGAATATGAAACTGACTTTGGGAGCCTTCTGAGATTTACCAAATTAAAATGAAAAAGTGTGGGGTAAGTTTCAATTCTAAAATATTAGGTGTGGGCCATGCAAATGCTTTGAATATGGCTTCCGACTTACAAAACTTCCAATTTTCTTATGATGCTAAAAATCCAGATGCTGGAATGGTAGTGATGTGCTAAATAGCATTTCTTGGGAAACAGTTTCAGTGTTCTGAATAGTTTTTTTCTCAGTGTTATGAAATCCAGAAAAACATAAGCAAATATGAGAGGACTGGTTATTTGATTTATTTAAATTTCTAAAGAGGATAACATCAAGCTTTTCTTGGCACAATTTTACACTGTTCAGAAATCATCATCATCATCATCATCATCATCAATAAGTAAACTGGGTTACTTATTACCCAGTTTAATGCAGCTCAATATGCATTATATGTAATGCAGTTCATACTCCATTATATGACAGTGTAGATGGAGCCTCCGATGAACCCCTTAGAGGGCTTTCTTGGCAAAATTTGTTTAGCAGAAGTTTGCTTTTGCCTCTCTCTGAGGCTGAGAGAGTTGCCCAAGGTCACCTAGGTGGTTTCTATGGCTTGGCCAAGGAGTCCAAGCCTTGTTTCTATAGTCATAGTCCAATGCTCAAACCACCTTACTGGTTCTCTTAATTAAAGCATTAAAACAAATAATATTAAGGACCACAACTCCAGTATTTCAAGTATATTCTTGCTGTGATTCAGGTATCTAGACTTCATTGTCTTGGAGTTATGGTGGAGGAACATACAGCTACACTCACTTCTACTATGTAGATTGGAATTTAATCAATATGCTTGAATATATTGAATGGTGTTCAAGTGCTTTTCTGACAAGAGAAGACTATTCTCTATGCTCCAGCATAATCTAATATCACTATAGATGTGAATGTAGATGTTTGCGGCTAAATTGACTTCTTCTCCTCACACATCAGAGCTTCAGTCAGAACTCTTTGGGTGTTGTTGGTAGCATTGGAAACAAATTTATTTAACATGACATAGATGGAAAGAAGTGAAATTCCTCCTGATAGTAGGTATCCGTAGAGTGGGAAATGCTTGTAGTGGGTAAAGTCTATTATCACCACAGCTCTAACCAATTCTGCAAAGCCCCACAGAACCACAGAGGTGAAAGACAGGGGCTTCATTACTGCTTTAAGGGTGGCTGCTGTCTTCCCAACCAGCTGAGAAAGATCTGTGAGTGATGGATCACCTAGGCCAAAGTTATGATAACACCAGGAGTGGACCTTTCTGGCAGGAAAGTAGGAGAGGCCTGGGATGGGAATAGCAGCAAAAATCCACAACCAAAAAGCTCTGGTTAGAATCTGCTTCTTCATGGCAGTTTTCTTGTTGTTCAAGACTGGCAGGTAGATGCTGGGCAAATTGAGCAGAAAAGCTTTCCTCCTCAGCCCTAAGAGATCATTCTTCAGCTTTTCCCAAAGGAGGGGGAAATCAAAGCGGCTGGTTTCATAACTGGATACTAGAAAGACTTGTGGATTGGTCACTCCTTCTCTCCGCAGTCCCTCATGGCAATCGTCCTTGATTCTCAGGAGAATCTTCTCCTCGTTGTAATCAGAAGGCCGTTGCCTCTTGGATGCTTCCAGATCAAGGTCTGTGTTGCTACGCACAAAGTAAAACTTCTTGCTCATTCCTTGGATCTCGTTGATCAGGTCAGCGTGAATGGTCCGGAAACGCTGGGCACCAACTATGATGAAGAAATCAAAGCGATTCAAGTCGA